CAAAATAAAGGAAAAAAAAAAAAAAAAAAAAAAAAAAAAAAAAAAAAGATGGAGAACAGTAGAGGAAGACACCAGAAATTGACCTCTGGCTTCCACATGTATATACCTGTGTATGTGTAACCACACCTGTGTACACATGCATAGACAAATACATACATCACACATGCACAAATCTGTTGTTTTAAGTAAAAAGTTTACAATTTTGTGTTGAGCCACATTTCTGGCTTCATAGGGCCTACAGGCTGTAGGTTGGACCTGCTGCATCATTTTAGTTTAGGTGGTATTCTGTACATTTTTGAAGTTATTCGCATTTTGTGCACAGTATATTTTTCTTTCAGATTCTGTCCTTTCATTATGTGACTGTCCTTGTATAATCATAAGCTACAGTCTTTACCTCAGTTTTAGAAACAGTCATGGAGTGGCTTCAATGACGTTCCAGAAAGCATCCTTGGTCTGTGCTATGCTGAGTGGATTCCTCCTCCGTGAAGACTTCCTTAGCTCTTTCTCCTTTCTGCCCCTGTTCCTTGCCTCTATCTGTATCCTTGTGCCTGATCTTGGCATGATCAAAATTTTTGTTAACGTGTACTTATCTTTGATACTGCTTCATTTCTCTTTCTCACCAGCTTAAACTTGTGAAGGCAGTGACAAAGTGTGTGTCATACGTGTAGTACCTGACATGTCTTTCACAGGTGTTTTTTTTTTTTTCCTTCTTTGAAACAGGATCTCACTCTGTAGCTCAGGCTAGCCTGGAACTCACTGATCCCAAACTCAAAGCAGTCCATTGCCTTGGCCTCTGGAGAGCTTACAGTCATAAGCTAGAATGCTTGGCTATATAACAGATGTTTTAGTTTTCTTTTATGTTGAGGACCTGCTTCAATTGTTTTGACCACCTGTTGGTCACTATTACCTAACCCTGCTGTCATCTTAGCTGTATACATGACTTTCTCCTGGATTCCTGGCTGAGCTCTACATGAGAATTTCCTGACTTGAACACTCTCATTGGCACTGTTTTTTCCTGATCTTGTGCTTTGTTTTGTCTCCTGAGTAGGATAGGATGTTATTCCAGAGAAAGATGAACCAGGTAGTCTGGTTTGTACAGCTAGCTCCATTGTCTTTGAGGTGGAGAATAAGTATATACCTGGAAAAGGAGAAGAATATATTCTTTTATTTTTTTATGGAAAAAAGAGTTCATTTTGCCTTACTGTTACAGAGGGATAAGAGTCCATCATGATGGGAAAGTAGGCTGTTAGTGGCAGATATGGCAGTGGGAGCAGGAAACTAAGAGCTCATACCTTCATCTGCAAACATGAAGCACAGAGAGAGAGAAGTAGAAGTGGGGCCAGGCTATGAACTCTCAAAACCTATCCCCAGTGAAATACTTCTTTCTAGTAAGGCTGCACTTCTTAAAGATTCTATGACCTACTTCAACTAGCACCATTAACTAGGAATCGAGTGTTCGGATACTAGGCCCTGTGAAGGACATTGCCCATGTAAACTACCACATTCTACTCCCTGGCCTCCAGAGGTTCATGGTCATATCATGATGCAAAATGTATTTAGTCCAACTTTAAAAGTCCCTGTAATTTTTAACAGTCTCAATACTGTTCAAAAGTCAGAAGTCTTTTGAACTCAAGACAATTTCTTAACTGTAACCCCCAAAACAAGACTGAAACTCAGCAGGATAAACACCAAATACTGTAGCTCCATATCTGGTGTCCAAGACTTTAGTTCCAAGGGCTTAGATGGTACTATCCTTTCTTCTGAAACATACATCTCTCTTTTGGGTTGATTCTGCTCCCTTATGCAGTTCTCCTTGGTAGATGGTTCCTGGTTCTTGCATTGCCAACATCTTGGGGCTCCACTGCAACCCATGCTTCACTTTCACAACATCATGCCCTGGCCTTTCAGGACCTGCTGGCCTCTCGGGATCTTCTTTTTGCAGGGACTCCCCCACCACATGTTGTCTGGCCTCGCCAGCTCTCTGAAACCATGGACAAGAATGCACAACTCCCCTCATTCTGTTATCTTTCATGCCTCTAAAGCCATTACCATGTGAATGACACTGCCAAGTTCTGCTGCCAGCTTGGGATGGACCCTTGCCTTCTTGAATCACATTCTTTTTTTAAAATAATTTATTGAGAATTTCATATATGTGTATAAGGTGTTTTGATCAAATCCATGCTCACTCCCTCCCCTTCAACTCCTCCCATATCTCCCCATCACTTTTTTTCTGATAACGTCATGTACTCTTTCTTCTTCTTCTTCTTTTTTTTTTTTTATGGGGCTTTTTGCTACTCTAACATTACCCCCTCTGAAGAGGTATCCCTAAAATCTTTTAAGGATTAGATAAAAGCTCCCAAATACTTTCAACATTTTTGGCCTTTGGAACGGAGTGGGTTGCTAAAAGGCCCAAGATGTTGGCTACTTTTCTTTGGGGCCTTTTTACCACTAACTGCCTAGCCAGTTCCTACCTCCTATTCTTATCACACCATCCTCTGAAGATGTTACCCAGCTTGTGGATAGGGAATTGAGATGCAGACCGCTCTGGCT